GACAAGTGATAACCTACAGCCTTCCGTTCTTGCTTAATCGATTGAACGTCTTAGAAACACTGGCCGTGAAGTGCAAGGCCAGGTAGATTCCAATCAGACCAAGGACATAGACGAATACACGAGTTTAACTGAGTCTGAACTGCGTCCCATGGCAAGGTTTGTATTTAATTAACCATTCTGATTATATTTGTGGACATCAGTTATTGTAAAGGAGTAGCATGTAAGAATTAGAATGCGAGAAAAATCTCAAATTTGGTATTCTCTCGAATTACGCCTGGCTGTATAGATCAGTGTTGCGCAAAATTTATACACTCGTGGCACACTAAATATTATCGAAGAATCATGGCGGCACACAGACCCCATTCTGCATATCTTGGCGTGGAAGGGGATAAGGTCAATGGTTAATGTACTTTCGACTTGCAGTCAACAGTGTGTTAGTATTTGAGAGATATGTTGTAGTGTGCTTCGACTAATATAAAACAAATACAAATTTTCCCGTCAAGAATAACGAGAAATTCTGAAATAGTAAACGCAACACATTCATAAACATTGTCCCACAAGTTTAAAAATTACTTACCGGAATATATTCACCAGCCAACGAAAGCTTGTTTAATATATGGACAGAAATTTTTGTAGACCTTTAATTTAAAGCGTGAACTATAAAATGTTTCGACATAAATCTGCCATTCTCAGACCACGAGGTCTAATCCTGTGTAACATATATTATATAAAAAAAATTGTATATAGTCGAGTGTGTAAAATCTTTTTCCTGAAACTGAACCATCCAAAGGAAATAAAATATTGTTATAAAATCCTGATATATTACGTGACGCCAAAGAACTTGAATAACTATATTGTATTTCCTACAAATTTATTTTAATATTATCCTCTTTTTAAGGCTTAGGTTATCGTCGGTGCCTTTCGTGTTTTCCGACTGGATAAGACTTAATTTTTTAAATGTTCATTTTTTTTTCTTACGGATGTTAGTCCTGCCTGGAGCTCATAAAACTGTCATGACATCGTAGCTTTGTGAGCTACAGCACAGTGTTAATCTTGATACTGATTAAAAATATTATCATTTACGTCGTAATTGATGAACATTACAAAGAATTCGGTAAATTTTCATTCTAAACCAAGGACGCAGGCCTATGTATCTCCAAAGAGCCACAACTGAACCACAAATACTCCCTTCTTAATTGTGTTCTTATCATACGCTGTTCGTTTCCTTACGCCTTGGAGTTCGGCGGAAGAGCCTCCTGGGATGGTCGCGGGCGTCGTCATTCGGGTGGAAATCCCGTCTGGGCAGCGACTGGACCGAATCTTCCGTGGGCTTCCTTAGTCCCTCCACGCAAAATATTAGAAAGCAAACAATTTCTCAACTCACCGTTGATTCTCATTATACTTTATCACCGTTGGTTAATTATGTGCAATAAACCAACAAAGAAATTTCATTAAATGTTCAGGAGCAGATTTAGACTTTTAAATCGATATTTACAAAATTTCTAAAATGAGTGTTTTTTTATGAAAGGAATATTTAATTTATATTTGGGTCTAAAATATATATTTTAAACAATTTGAAATTGTAGTACAGCCTACCTACAAAGAGATAAATACAAAATTTAAATTCGACCTTCAAATGAAGAACAGATCTCGAAATCACGTTTCTAGTATTTTATCATTTCTTTATCTATCATCTCGTCACAGTCAAACGAAGCGTTGATGATCTTATTTTCCATCTATTCGAAAATTTTACCGATGAAACTTCTCAGTGGAATACGATAAAATTTGGTTGTGAATCAATAACAGTTGCTTGTCGAATATAACTGAATCGATTAATTGAAAAATCACACAAGTCCATGTTTTATGAGAAATTAGCAGTCATCAGGGACAAATGCATTGCTCACCACAAGGATCGCATCGGCCCAAGGCTTTGCTGGAGTCGAGCAGTTCGTTTCTCGGTAAAACAACACGAGTCCTGGACTCATTTTATTCCAGAGGTTCTGTTGTGGTTATGACCATAAGAACACACCGAACACTATAGGGACTGAAGTATAAAAACACACATATCCACACAGGACATGCACTGTTCCTTAAGTATTACGTGGGTACTTGTAAACAGCAACAGTCCATAAATAACTTGGCTTGCAACTCAAAACGAAAAATATGTTAGCGAGTTCGAAACTTGACAATTGTTGTTGGAGTAAATAAATCAAACACAAAATAAACAGCGTGTTCTCTGTTTGGTATCTTTACAGTTTCTTTAAAATTGATTTTTGTGGACTCGTGTGGTTTTATTAACAACTGATTCCAATTTTTTCAATCTTACGTACGTAGTATAGTAATTATTTTGACTTAACATAAGCACTAATAAAATTTTATTAAAATTCTGCTATAAACTTATTTCGTTTTATTTATAAAATATGTTTAATGATAATAATTACATTCTTGAAATGGCTATATTGTTGGATAACGAACTTACAAATGTAAATTTGAACAGCAATGCCTACTTTTGTTTATCACGGATGTATTTAGCAACAACATTTGATGAAAGTATAGTCAAGTACAAATACAGATGATTTATGTACATGGGCACTACAGTACAATTTATTATTTATCTTTCTAATGAACATAATATAAACGCCAAGCAGCGCGGTTTCTGTACTAACGATATACTTCGTAAGAATATATTTGTAACTTAATAAATTATTCATTCTGTTCATAAAGTTCGATTATACTTCGTGATCGACTCTTTTCCTGACTCACCTGCCAGATCATTGACGTCGACGAGACGATAGTTCATTCGCACACCTTCCTCACTGGTTCAGAAATTTTCGCACGACAGCCTGTCACAAAAGCTACAGTTCCCTGCCGAGAGCTTCATTATTAACACGTGCGTTAGAAAGCGTCACGAATCTTGGTGTTAGACTCATCATATCACGGGGCGAATCGACATGCACAAAGTTGCATAACATCCATCGTGCAACCCACATGACGAGGACTTCACAGTTCTAGAAATTCCTATAATTGTGGCACTGAACGTAATTGAAGTTAGTACTAAACATCGTCATGTTAATGTCATTCTGGACCGGCTCCAGTCCAGTTAATTATCTCACAAATTACTTCCCCAAGATCACATTCAATATCAGGACCAGCCAATGTACGTCTCGGCGTCTACACTGCCGACTTCCCATATTAACAAACAGAAAAATCTGTCGATGTTGATTAAATTTTATAAAACACCATAAACACCATAAAGTTAGCAACCTTCTGGGGTGGTACGCCGTGCAGTCTGGTAGAAGTTTACCATAATCAGGGTGATGACGGAGCGATATGATGATGATGAAGGCAGCAAGTACCTCTAAAACGTCGGTAAACGTCTGCCGCATTACACGGCGCAAGACCCAGAAGACAGCTATTTTTATATTCGCCTCAGTGGGAACCTGAAATCTCAGTTATGAAGCACATCAAGACATTTTTCAAGCACAACATCTTATGCTGACTTAATGTCGACTTTTCTAATTAAAATTTCAATCTACTTTTCCCCGTCACTCCACGACTGTCTTGATCTTCCTATAGGCTTCGTCATCCACAAACATTAATATCTGAATAACTCGTGTATTCAACTAACTGTCGTTTAATAAACTACGAGCCACTTGCATCTCATTGTACCATTCCGCTTGAAAACCAGAAGTTGTTTCTTCCATCTAACATGTTCTTCGCATCACAACATTCTTTATTTAACCTAACCTAAGCTATATATTAAATCTTGTCCGTCTAATCACAATAAAATCTTATTAAATATTAAAATATTACAATAATTAACATTTAAAATATTTAAAATATTAAATGATGTTCTTTATCGAAATATTCGATTTACATTAGACCATCATTTTTCATGTTTCACGACATGTTTCAGTTCCTAAAAGAACCATCCTCAGGTGTATATAATTATATAAAGCTTCAAAACGATAAATAATTTCAAATACAATTTTCATACATAATGCCTGCGTACATTTTTATCAGATTTTTACCAGATATCAGACGATGTTCTTTTCCAGATTTTATTTCATTTTAATAACATATTCGATGTTGTTCTGTATATATATACATCATGCTCAATGTAACTTTAGTGTGGGTGAACGTTTTGTTGTTTTTGTATCAGTCTATAATGTAAATAACATAAAGGTTAAATAAATATTAGTAAAATAGAAAACAAATTAATATATATTGAAGATAATTCGATAAAGAAGATTCGAATATTTCGATAAAGAACATCATTTAATATTTTAAATATTTTAAAATGTTAATTATTTTAATATTTTAATATTTAATAAGAATTTATTGTGATTAGACGGACAAGATTTAAATAATATATATTTATTATATCACAATATGACGAAACTTTACAATCTTATCTAACCTAAGCTGTCAGTAAACGAAATCGAAATTTAACTAATTCTGTCCACTGTTAATAAGCTTACCGCCCTGTTTTCGTACTGCGAACTGCAAAATGTCAGAACAGAGCTTAGACAGCCTATTTCAGACACTTCCAAGAATTAATCCGGAAGAACACGATGAGGCTGAGTCAGGACAACTATTGAATCGCCAAGATTCGAACAGGGTCTTCTGACACTGTGAGATTCTCTCAGATATAGAAAATATCTCTTAAAGAATTTTATAAGTTTTTCTCTCGGAGGTTTTTGGGGAAATAAAATAAATCTTACTGAGAATAATCCGTTTCCTTAGCAGATCCTAACCGATAACTTTTAAAAATTCGTAAAGCAAAATCGATTAAATTTGAAAGTGTTGCTTTGATATTACCACATACTGGAACCTAGTAGTAGAATAACGCAACCAGACTCGTTATCGGCTTACCCCAACGTATAGACACAGATCACACGAAATTCTCGGGCAAAATCCATGTCCTTTGCGAGATTCGATCACACGATAACTGTGACTGAAGTTGGTTTACCTTCGGGTTCAAATACGTAGTTACTAACCCTTGTTGAAGACGATATCCCGACGCCGGACAATCTCGGATGCCTTGTTGTCGCAGCCAGGACCGCGATGCCAGCAGAACAGTTTGCTGAATGACCTCATGGTGTGCGCGTAGCTTCAACACTGACTGAGGACTTTGCCTTGCAGAAGGAACTTGCAGATCTCGGCCTTCGGATCAGAACACGCTTCGTGTTAGTATTGCACCAATCACAGACAAGCTGTGGGGATTAGGCTCTAGTCGGAAAGAGGTCATGCAAGGTCATCATTGAAACTCCAGAGGAGGGATGTGACCATCTCTCTTCATCTCTTGAAGACGCGTGTTATGTGTCACATGTAAGACATACAGAGAACTATCTGCGTGTTATGTAAAGACGCCGATAATAAGCGTGTAAGCTTTCGCTCGCAAAATTACACTCCAGTAAAATCTTACGTGCGTACATCGATGTTTGCGGCCTGATCTCACATTAACTACAAACTACAGTGGACCGATATTACATAAATTACTTTCCGAACTCGTCTGGGCCACTAGGCTTTCAGGACGGAGGTTTCTTCTGGTTTCCTTCGCTGTTTCTATGAAAATGCCAGGATATTACCTCGAACCAAGACATGGCAGCGTACTTGCGATATCACGTAAACTGACCATCAGCGAATATTTCCATTTTATTCAGCAAATATTAAAGCACGCCTAACTGGGTACAATTGTACTAGTGTTACTAACTAACTAACTAGATGGCTTACGAAACCCTAAGGTTTATCACCGAACCAACCAAAGCCCTCCACCGGACCCTGTCCTGGGCCAACAAAATCCAGTCTCCTTCAACTCCTATCTCCCATAGATCCCGCCTGAGATTATCCTCCCATCTACGTCTAGGTCTCCCCAGAGGTCTCTTCCCCTCAGGCTTCCCAAATAGTGGACCCAACCAACCAGATGCCTTACGGAACCCGAAGGTTCATCACCGAATTAACCAAAGCCCTCCACCGGACCCTGCCCTGGGCCAACAAAATCCAGTCTCCTTCAACTCCCATCTCCCATAGATCCCGCCTGAGATTAACCTCCCATCTACGTCTAGGTTTCTCCAGCGGTCTCTTCCCCTCAGGCTTCCCAAATAGTGGACCCAACCAACCAGATGGCTTACGAAACCCGAAGGTTCATCACCGAATTAACCAACACCCGATTCTCCAACACCTGCAATCTGTGTTCCTCCCTCTGAGTGAGAGACCATGTTTCGCACCCATACAAAACAACAGGCAAGATTATTGTTTTGTATACTTTAATTTTCAGGTTCTTAGAAATCAGACGGGAAGACAAAATATTTTGAACTGAGAAGTAGCAAGCATTTCCGGAATTTAATCTCCTCCTAACTTCCTCACGAGTGTCATTTTGATTTGTTATTGTTGTTCCCAGATATTTGAACTTTGTCCCCCTTTCAAAGGACTTATTAGCCACCCTAAGATAATTTTGTTACAGATTTAAAAAATGTGCTAACAACACATCTGTACAAAATTGGATGCAAATAGGAAAATAACATTAGTGACGTACAATTTCAAGCAGGTAAATGGGAGAGTGGAACCAAACTTCAATTGATACTTCCAAAACAATTATCCATCTAAGCTTGTACAAAACGCAAACATTAACTCTCAAAATTTGACCAGCTCACTGGACGTATTCAAACTAAAGACTGTCCTTTGTGACGAACAAAGGGAACACTCAGATACTTGACAAATGATGCTAACTAGTAACGTTTCCAAAGACTAAGCACTGCTGGATACTAGGTGCTGTCCAACGCCGTACGGATCTCTCTTAAAATTATTCTATTTCGTGTAAAAATTTTCAATTCCCCGCCAATTCTGTCATAGAAATACAAGAATATTTCAAATAATGTATACAAACATACACAAAGGTCTAGATACATTCTGTACAGAATTTACATGATGTAATTCAAATGCATTTTACGACGTAACAGTCTCAAAATACTGTCGATTACTCTCTGTCGCTTGGAGCTACTGCGACGCTGGACAGCGTTGGTAAGAGGAGTAATGTCGGAGGACGCCGACATCTCGCGACAATGTTTCGACGACACAATTCCGATTTCAATAGCACCAACATTATTTCCGGGTTTAGAAACTGGTTTACGAATAAACACTCTTTAAACGGTCAGATATCGGTCCACGGTGGCCGCGCGGTCTGAGGCGTGGACCTTGTGCCACTTGGTCGCTAGGACCGTGGGTTCGAATCCCACTCAAGCCATGGATGTTGTGTTGTGCTGTCCTGTGTACAGGTCGAGGCCTTGCGACGGACCGATCCCTCGTCCAAGGAGTCCTACCGGATGTCTATAGATCGAGCCAACGAAAAGTTAGGACTCGCAATACTCAGGCACTTGAAGAACGGGTCGTTCCCAGTATCCCAGTATTTCGTGAAAGTAATTGTTTATAAACTGCAATGAATATTAAAAATACGTGTCCACCATAGACTTATGAATATCAAGTAGTAAGTTGGCCAGCGTCGAAAGAAGGATATTTAATAAACTTCCTTCATCGGGCGAGAGAACTCTCTCCGGGCCAAGATTTGAAGCTGTTTCTGCCTAATGGTCTGAGAAAGTACCAAATATTATCCCATACTCTCATCTGATGAAGAAATATTACAGCTAATATCCGAAAAGCAGTAATTCAAAAGATTCGATATGATAAAAAATGTCCAAATTATTAGCCATAAACTTTGGTTACCTCGGATATTTTAACATCGCCGTCTACCAGTGGACCTCCGTTCATTTTATTGGTCAAGCCTTAGCTAGCTGTTGCTGCAAATGACAGTAGTGTGTAATTTATTCATGTCTGCATAATGTTTCATCGTACTGGAACAGCTTAATTGAGAAAATTCTATCCCTTTGGTTAATGTTATTACGTAATTTTTGTAATACAGCCTTGCTCGATGCAATTATAATGTCTGGGATCTATACGTGGCTGGACATTTCCCGACGGTATTATTTAATCTGACAGCCATCAGCAGACCACTCTCGCACACAGAGACGTAAAACCTGACACCTGTCTGTCGCGAATTTACACACGCGTATAACTAACAATAGCTGTAATAATTATATTTAATTAGTAGGTGGAACATAACAATTATTTATTTTAATCCGTCTTATCACAATATTTAAAATTTCTTATAATTAAGATAATAAGATATCATTTAATCAACTTCCTTCATCGGGCGAGAGAACTCCCTCTGGGCCAAGATTTGAAGCTGTTTCTGTCTAAGGGTCTGAGAAAGTACCAAATATTATCCCATACTCTCATCTGATGAAGAAATATTACAGCTAATATCCGAAAAGCAGTAATTCAAAAGATTCGATATGATAAAAAATGTCCAAATTATTAGCCATAAACTTTGGTTACCTCGGATATTTTAACATCGCCGTCTACCAGTGGACCTCCGTTCATTTTATTGGTCAAGCCTTAGCTAGCTGTTGCTGCAAATGACAGGAGTGTGTAATTTATTCATGTCTGCATAATGTTTCATCGTACTGGAACAGCTTAATTGAGAAAATTCTATCCCTTTGGTTAATGTTATTACGTAATTTTTGTAATACAGCCTTGCTCGATGCAATTATAATGTCTGGGATCTATACGTGGCTGGACATTTCCCGACGGTATTATTTAATCTGACAGCCATCAGCAGACCACTCTCGCACACAGAGACGTAAAACCTGACACCTGTCTGTCGCGAATTTACACACGCGTATAACTAACAATAGCTGTAATAATTATATTTAATTAGTAGGTGGAACATAACAATTATTTATTTTAATCCGTCTTATCACAATATTTAAAATTTCTTATAATTAAGATAATAAGATATCATTGATGTTCCATATCGATTGATCGATTTACATTTTGGAACATTTTACACAACATGTTTCAGTTTTTATAAAACCATCATCAGGTGTATAATATTTACGAACTTAAAACTCAAATATGATTCCATTTGGTGATGTTTTCATTGCGTTTGTTTTTCCATTTTTGGGCGGAGATGTTGTTTTTTCTTAAATTTTATTGGATGTACATATCGGTCAAAGATGTAGGAGTGATTGTTCCGATATGTCCAGAAGTACTACTGTCTTCGTATAGGTGTGGGTCAATAATTCTTTATCGATGAGAATTCGCGTAATTTCAGGCACAAAAATATCGTTCTTGCAAGGTAGATTAAATAAAAATCATTAATGGAATACTTTTGTTTTGAGTGATTGTCCACTCTGGTGAGGCAAAGTCAATTTGTGTTATGTGGTTCATTTTCCAGTTTGTGTCGAGTGCGCATGACGTAAAGATGGCTGCTACACTTGGGGTTTGCACCAAAGACGAGCAACGTTTGTATTTGTCTCTTTTGCGGCAGGAAGGAGTGAACGGGACAGAACTGGCTTTCCAGTGTGGACAGAGATGTTTGACACAAAGAGTCGTGTACGACTAGTTCGACAAGATGACGCAATCAGATCGCAACATCCAACCACATCCAAAAACAACCAGCACAGAATGTGTCCTGGAAGTGATTCTTCAAAACTCC